GACTCTCGCTACCAAATTGACACTTCTGGTAACATAACCTTCTACAATAAATGTTTTAGGACCAAAAAAGACCGAAAAATGACTGAATAACAGGGTTGAAACCTGCATAAAACACTAATTCTGATGTTACTGGAAGATTATGATGAATATGTTTCATTGAAAAGTCCATTGTTGAGGTAGGACAGCCCAAAATCACCATATTAAAGGTGGATACAGACATTTTATGATCATTTAAATGCTAATTTTAATTACTTTAAGTCAAAGTTCAGATCTCTTTACTTTTTACAGGAATAAAACACTACAACAGTCAGTTTGTTGCTTACAGAAAGTTAATGAGACAGACATTGAACTCTATTCATGGAAGTTCCAGCCTTTGAGCACCACGCCATTGACGTCATGCTAACGAGCTTCTGTTCATCATTAGCATGTTTGGTAGAGCTTTGACCTCCAGCATAGCTGCTGAAAAAAGAACATTACGTGGGTCTTTGAGCTTATAATATTTAATATTGAATGTGGAGATGATTTGGAGTCGTAGTAGCCATTGTTAGTGCCTGATTAAAAGACTTTTTAAGATGGACTGGAAGAGCTGAGAACAAACCAACTTCGGGAAGAGCAAAACCTCAGACAGACATACAGACACACGTACATATGGCAACAAAGAGTGCTCTCAGAATTGAGCCACAGGAAGGTTAAAGGAACATGGAACAAATCCTGCTTCACTCGGTCATTAAAACAATGACTGCACACACACACACACACACACACACACACACACACACACACACACACACAAACAGTCACACACGTAGCCCCTGGTGTGTGAGGCGTTCGTGAGTGTGTCCGTGTCAAGGCTGGTGTGTATATCACGTCATGTCTGCCGACAGCTTTCAGATGTTACAGTGCTGTGGTGTGTTATTAGCTCAGCTCCAGGCGGCCTCCTGTAATGGCCTTCAGGGTCGAGGTCAGTTCACTCAATTCAGGACCCACTCAAATGTTTAGTTAAGTTAACTCACTCTGCGCGTCTATATGGGGGTCAACATCGAATAATTCATAGCAAAAACTGAATCATTCATAGCAGATATTGAATCCTTCATTGAAGATGCTTGATAATTCATAGTAGTTACTGAATAATGTATAGTAGACACTAAATACTTCATAGTAGATACTCAATAATTAATAGTAGTTACTGAAAAATGCATAGTAGATACTCAGTAATTCATAGTAGATACTGAATAATTTATAGTAGTTACTGAATAATTCATAGCAGCCACTAAGTGATTCATAGTCATTACTAAAAATTACTTTGCAATTACTGAATAATTCATAGTAGATACTGAATAATTCATAGTAGATGCTGAATAATTCATAGTAGTTACTGAATAATTCATAGTAGACACTGAGTGAACTGAATTAACTAAAATAGAACAAACATTAACTTTCACCCTTCAAAAGTAAAAGCTTAGCTGCTATTAAAACTGCTCTACATATTAATGAGCTGATGGCGCTAAAGCAACAGGTCTTTTCCGGTGCACTGTATGTGAGAATATATTTTCAGCACATCAGCGTTTTCCTTGAGGCCTGACAGAGCTGGTGCTATATGCAGGCCAGTGCTGCCATCTACAGGCTCAAGTATGATTATACAGTTTGAGAAGACCATGTAGTACAGACCATAACATGTAGCAGATCAGTATGAGCTGACTTTAACTGAACTGGCTGATTTAACCTGAACTGATTCAAATGGAGTTGAAACCAACACTGACCCCTTTACAGGTAAAGCTTGGTTCCCATTAATGCTGCTTGGGAGTTCATCTGATGCTAGACAGCTGCATTTTCATAGGCATTTTCCTGGATACGTAATGTGCAAAAACACTCACCCTCTACGTCTGGTGAAAGTTAAAGGTCTCAGGAAACAATATTATTGAGCAACAAAGGAATGAAAAAGCTACAGAATCACAGCAAAGACCTTAAACATTTGTCTTTGCCAAGAACAAGGCTTGCGTATTTGACTCTAAGAACACCATGTGAACAGTGAAGTATGAGGGTGGGAGCATCGTGATATGGGGCTGCTTCTCTGCGAACAAACAGTACTGGGGCTATACACATCAGTGATACATGAATGGAGTGTTGTGTTGGAACATATTAAAGGAGAAGTTAATCTCATTGGCCAAGAAAGGGGACGGAAATGAATGTTTCAACAAGACAATGAGCCTAAACACACCAAACTAACTCTGCCTTCTAATAAGGAAGGTGAAGGTGCTACTGACTTGAATGCCATTGAAAATTTTATCAGAGAGACCCTCATAACCCTGGGGAATTGAAGACGCGGTGCAAAGTGGAATGGACCAAAACTGAACCACAATGCTGCAAAAAGCTCATTACTTCTTATCACAGATGCCTCCAAACTGTAACTGATGCCAATAGCTTTGTAACAGAGTATTGAAGTGGTGCACTCTTAGCAAAAAGGGTTCTAAATAGCACTAAAAAAGGGTTCTTTGGCTTGTAACAATAGTGGAACCCTTTTGGCACTATATAGAACCCTATCCAAAAAGGGTTCTATGTAGAACCATGTACAACACATTCTCTGTCAGTCTGAAGAACCATTGACCAAAGAATCCTTTGATCATGCAAAGGGTACATGGACCCATTTTCTTTACTAAAGAACCCTTAAAAAGCCATATTTTTAAACAATGTATCTATCTTACATATATATATATATATATGTATATATATATATATATATATATGTATATATATATATATATATATATGTAGTTATAAATACTTGAATGTCTATGTGTAGTCAGGGTTAGAAGTGCCTCACATTTCCTTGAGCCCTGGTAGACATAGAAGTGCTGCCATCTAGAGGTTCATGGACGCTTATACAACTTGAGGCCATGAAATATAATGGAGCTCAATAGTGGCCTCAGTGGTCTCTGATTTTTACACAGCACTGTATATGTACAGTAAATACCATGAAACACTTCAAGGGGTTATTTACTCTTTTATAACAGCGGAGGCTGTTATTAAAAAGAAAGTCTCATCATGTGGTCATTTGACTCACCAGTGGAAACTGACCGTGTCCCCTTCTGCAATATTTCATTGCGGAATCACTGCAGCAGAACCATTTTTGGAGCAGGTTGTATATAAGAGCACCGGCAGATTCTCTTACACTCTGAAGTGGCAGTGAGTTCATGTTCATGGTGGGGAACACATACATACGCACACTTCCACAGACACACAGTTGTGAGAAGGTTAAGGCTCTCGTGAACCTGCTGGTGGATATATCATGCTGTAGTTACTGTACTGGGTTACAGATCTGCTACATTTGCCCCAGTAGCATTCAGTTTCAGAGGTCTCTTCTGTTCCTTTAACGCCTTTAACGCCTGTTACATAACACCATGATACCTGATACTGGCTTTACTCCGTTACAGGTTAAGCTGCTTCAGCATTGCAGTCCACACTGAAAAAAGAAAAGCTGTATTTAGTAGACTGTAATTTGTAGGTCATAATTTTGAGCAGACGTCTTCATGATCAAATGTCATTGAGCTCTTTTAAGAGTTTTGAATAAGACTGTACTCTGACTCGCACCTCAGAGACTTGAGACTTGACACAGACTCACACCTCAGACTCAAAACCTGAGTGAGACGTGCCTAAAGGGACTTGTGAAAAGCACTCAAACAAGCTCTTTCTAGACGGGGACTCAGATTTACACCTCAAGATTCGACTCACGTTTGCACCCCAGACATGCAAGACTTTTTTCCACTCACTAGCCGGGTCTCCCCCAAGCCCCCCACTCTACCACTGCTAGGAGGGTGAAGACTAGTACAAGCTTCCTCTGAGTCACAGGAAGTCAGCCACCTCTCTTGGACTCTCAGGTATGGATGGCTGTCGCATCACTGTGGCCTGAAGCTCCTGATGATTGGGCCAAGGCTTGGTTGTGCCACTCGGGAGCCCTGAGAGGCACATGACTTGACTGGGACTCACATCTCAGAGACTCTAGACTCGACTTGGACTTAGTCCTCAGAGACTCGAGACTCGACTTAGACACACCTCAGAGACTCTAGAATTGACTTGGACTCAGTCCTCAGAGACTTGAGACTCAGCTTAGACTAACACCTCAGAGACTCGTGACTCAACTTGGACTCAGTCCTCAGAGACTTTAGATTTGACGTGGACTCACACCTTAGAGACTCAAGACTCAACTTAGACTCACACCTCAGAAACTCGAGACTCAACTTTGACTCACATCAAACTCAAGACCAAACTTGGACTCCAACCTCGAGACTCTTGACTCGACTTGGACTCGTTTCTCAGCGTCTCGAGACTCAACTTTGACTCGCATCAAACTCGAGACTCAACTTGGACTCAAACCTCAGAGACTCTAGACTTGATTCAGACTCCCTCCTCAGAGACTCTAGACTTGACTCAGACTCACAGACTCAAGATCCAGACTTGCTCCTCAGTGACTCTTGACTCTGACATGTCTAGAGTCTAGAGACTCAAGTTTCAACTCTGACTCACACCTCAGACTTGTGTCTCAGAGACTTTTGACCTGATTGGATTTGCACTCCAGAGAAGCTAAATCTGACGTGGACTTGCATAATATGACTTAGGGGTAAATCACTAAAGTTTGCTCTTGCTTGGACTCGGAGTGGGCAA